TCTTGCATAATTGTCAGCTTTTATAAGAAGGGTCAGACACTATTCTAGCACTGTCACAGTGCCTTTCCAGTCTCTATGTCCTGGCAAAACTTACAGTCACTGATAGCAATCTGCTCATCTCAATATACTGTGGGAAACTGTATATCACATAGGAGCCAGCAGTGGCTCTTTTTACTCTTGGAAAGTGACACAATCCAGAGTTACTGGAACTCTTATTTTCTTTTTCCCTCCTCTTTTTTTTTTTTATGTTCCCTGTTAAAATCAAGAAACTGAGCCACATATTTTTAATAATGAGAATCTGGATGAGGTTCAATCTAAATTTTGAAAATATATTCCAATTAAAGACTTTAATAGATTCTTGGCTTTCCCCACATCTCATTGCCATGTGCATTCAATAATCCCTAGCCCCCTTTTTCCCTAGTAATAAGTAGACTGCAGAGCGGATGACATCATTCTCCAGAAGGTCAGCCTCTCCTGGACTGCCATTTTCTGAACATTTTTTGCAAAGTTTTTTTTTGAAGGGACTTTTCTTTTTTCAAACTGGCTGTGATTGTGTCAAACATGGTGCTTGCCCTTGTAAAGTGGCAATGATTTTCAGATTGCGTGCTCCAAAAGAGAGGCTTTGTATTCGGGTCAGACGGTTTCACTGACAGAAAGGGTATGTTCTTCTCGAAAGAGAGGTTTTGTATTTGGGTCAGAGGGTTTCACTGACAGAAAGGGTATGTTCTTCTCCTTGGTAGGAGAATATGGTGACCACTCAGGTCACAGACCTGCAGAGACTTGATGATGTGCTTTACTTCAATGGCAACACGTGTCCCTGAAGTTCATGGACCACTAGGGTCAGCCGCACCAGGCATCTGTCTGACTGGTCGTGATATCAGGCTCTCCAGTTTGTGTGGCAGCTGAAACCTATCATTGTGTAGATTAGAAAGTTATTTAATCCCCATATGAAACAGCTGCATCCAGCACACTGAGTATCGATTCGGTGTGTAACTGTGGCCGTTGCTCAACATACAGCTTGGGCCAAACAAATGAGCAAAGCACTAGGATGCATGTTGAATGGGAGAAAGGATAATGTGGAAAAAATTATAATACCTTTAGATAATTGTATCATGTGGATGCATCTGGAATACTCTGTGCAGACTTGTTTTTAAAGAAATGATTAAGGACCTGGAAAACTTCCCACTTGAAGAGAAATGACTGGCGCTATTCACTGTGAGAAGCACAGAAGAGGGACATAAAAACCTGTAAAAAAATTAATTGTATGAAGAAGGTGGATGAGAGGGAACTTCTGTTCTCCTTATCTCATAACATCCCATAACATCCCATCTCATAACAAAAAGGGATGGACATTCAGTTAGAGTAGAAGAATCAGAGCCACTGTAATGAAGGATGTTCCACACAGCTGTGTCATAAAAACATGGAAATCACAGTCACAAGAGTCTATCAAGGATGGGTGACACAAAGCTACCACGTATTCTTCTCTCTGCAAGATAGTATAGGCCATAAAGATTAGTACTTGATCTCCTTTTTTATTAACTATGCAAACTGAGCTTTCATTCTCAGGCATCTCCTCCAGCCAGCAAATCATTCTACTTTTTTTTTTCCCTGAATCCTCTTCAATCTTTTTCCACCCTTTAAAAATATATGCAGTAGGAGACTATACTGTAATGCCAGTTTGCAGCTAGGAAACTGTCTCCGCGCTGCTTACCACTGTTTTTTTTCTACGCCAGAGACGGCACGTCCCTTTTTACCACAGTACTACATACATTGCCCCTTGCATGTGCAGTGGCTTATCCACAGAGACTCCAAGTTCTTCTCAGTGCCAGCACTTTCCAGCACACTTGGTGGGTATGTATGTTCTATGTTTTGTTCCTAGACACATGATATCGTGGCTGGCTGAACCAAAAGCCACGCCTTGTTTGAATGCATGCAGGCTACCAAGAAATCTCTGTTGCTCTTCATACCTGTGTCCCCATCATTACTGACCGCTTTGCAGTCTTTATGAGATTTGTACCTTTTAGCAACTGCACTGTTTCATTTAGTTCTGGACAAATTAATACTGGAACCAATCTCTGCAGAGCAACACGGGGTCTGTCATTATGGGATGGTGTTTTCACGTTTATCACATCAGCTTTGAGATCAGTCAGATACTCCTTTCTTAATACACGCTAATGCTAATTTTTCCAAGCTGGCATATGTGGCAATAAATTAAAAATTTTGCTTTCCAAAACTGCATCACATCTATGCGGTTATTTCTATCAGTCAAATCTCTAACTTAACCAAATAATTCAGTTGGATTTGTTTGACAAAATTCTTTTGAAAAGTCAGATAACAATTTTATTTCATTAAAAAATTACCAAGTGGCAAAATAAAAGCTAAGAATCCATAGCAATCTGTAGCACAGAAAAATCTGGCTGGAAAGCAGCAAAGGCACCATATTTATACAACTGAAGTCCCAAGATCCTGCCCCAGAAAGCACCATTTTTTCTACCACCGTAAGGGAGACTCATCTCTAGAAAATCAAGGCCAAATTCCACAGATCCTACAGGGGACCTGTTCAAGCAGTTCACTAGACTTCATATAACTAGAGCCTATCGCTCTTTTCCCATCCACCACAGACAGCATCCCATTTCAGTACCATTATGTACTCTCTCCCTCCTCACCAGGCTGAACAACCATAACTCACTCCTCATCGGTGATGTTTATTCCTAGGCATGTGGTCACTTTTGCTGCTCTCATCTTGTCACTCTGCATTAAGTATGCACTCCTCTTAAGCTGCAGGGAACACATCTAGTCCCGAAAGCCTCCTGTAGCCCCAGTGCAGTTTCCCAACTAACAATTCAAGGGATAAAATGGAGGCTTGCAATTCCTCAAGTGTTTTTTTAGAAATGTCACAAATTCAATGAGCTTTGGAGACAACAGCATGATCTAGAATTGAAGTGTCTGTTTATTAAAATAATAGCCTGAAAACTTCTAATTCATATATATGCAGGGGTATGAGAGAACAGCGTGCAGCCCAGAGCACTGAAGCTTCAGGTGGGAGAGAGGAGAAGAGTCCCAGGCAAGTCGCTTACATGAAAAGACTGGCCAAGGCTCAGAGGATCTGAGGTGCAATAGCTTATGCTAAAGTCAGCTGTTAAACACCAGTGATTTACTCACCTGTCACGCAGTTTATGTGCTTGAAAGCAAGGAGATGAAGAGGTATGGGCACGGTGCATCCTAGTCATCTTAGGTTTGGAGGGAAGAATCACATGTGGCTTAAAGCCACCCCAGCATTTCTTGCTCTTTGTGCCAGCAACTCCAAGGCCTCCAGACCAGCATATTTGTGCTGGACCTTAGGGGCTGTCCTGGCAGCCATAAATTAAAATAGAAAGTGTTTGTACCTGGGCTTTGCACCTATCACTGAGACCAAGGGTCAGCTTGTTACAGCAGCTGCTGGAGAGGTAAGCACTATGATGGAGAGAATATTTCTGATTTGTTATTTTGATGTTGTTTTGCATAGATAAATGAAAAGCTCAAGAGCACTGTTGTGCAGGAAGTTTTAAGTTTTGAGACCGACCTGTGGACACGAGGGCTGCCCTAAACCCAGTGGTCTGTGGTGCAGTGGTGGTGGTCCTGCACAGAGCCGGTTGGTCACAGGGTACTGGCTTGCTTCCTAGCTTTTCAGCTGCCAAACTATATCAAAACAAGCTAAAAATACATTAAATATTTTCCTTTCCTAATATTACCTTACCACGTAAGCAATAGCTGGACTTGCCACTAGGATGTTATCCGATAACCGATGGGAGGGGAGGTGTGCAAGCCCGAATAGGGGGTGAGACAGAGGAGGGAGGCTGCTCCAGCGACCGTGACCAGGAGGAGAGGCTGTTATGTTTCTATTTAGGTGGGTGATGAAAACGTTTCTGAATCCCTGTTTTAACCCATCTCTGACCACACGCCTCACTGCAAGTGCTCCTCGACACATGTCTCTGAGCTTGTGCAAAACCTCTCCTGCCCTGTAATGGGCAGCCACTGCTGTGGCCCTCCCTCTGGAGGAGACCATGGCACCCCCAGGTGGTTTTGAGATCTAGAGGAAAGTTTTGGGGTGATGTCAAGCTCAAATATGAGAGAGGCTGGAGAATGTGCTACACAGGGCATGCATTTGGTTTCGATTGCTTGACCTCACAGGTGTCACGTTTGAACACAGCTTTGGATTGTTTCTTTTCTTATGTTTATATTGGAATAAAAAAGTACCAGGCTGCCCTGATGCCTCTCTTCCCAGTGATCACTGTGTTTTTAACTAGAAATAGCTGCAATGAAGCGAATGGGGAAGTCCTATCAGTGGGGGGAAAAAAAAAAAAGTAACACAGCCTGAAACTGGAGATGAAAGCCCTACTTAACAAATGAGAGATGTAAAGGGCAGAAGCTATGAAAAGACACAGCATGAACAAGCGGAAAACACTTGGCCTACGCAATAATTCTTCCCAGCCTTGTACTAACAGAAACTCTCTCCAGCAAGGCCACCAGGTTTTGAAAGCGAGGCAGCATGATCCTGGGGGGAGGCACATTTCTGGTGTCCTAAAGCTTCCAGAGGACACAGGCCCCTTCCCCGTACGTTACCACACAAATGGCAAACTCTAACTGTAAATGGAGAGCAATGTGTCTGACATGCTGGAACTTTTCCTCAGTCTCCCTATGCTCTCTTCACATTTAACTCATGCTGTGTACTTGATCTGGCTCTCCTAACTCTGAACTCCTTCCTGCTCCTCCTTCTAGTTCTTATGTGCACTGGGGACACCAGGGCGATGAAGCAGCTGTGCTGCAACTCATAAAGCACAGCCTCTCCACCATTTCCATCTATCCTCTCTGCTTGGTGTCCTTCCACAGCAGTCAAGAGCTCAACGAGGTGCATGAACCTGCCCTCTCAGCTGCCGGACTCAGAGCAGAATGCATCGCTGCTCTTACGCCCTCTCCTCCTGCTCTTTGTATAGCTCTTTGCATGCCCTTTGTACGCTCACCTTGCTGCTTCTGCATGGTAGTGAAGTCTTCAAAGGTGAGAGTACGCACTGGGGGCCTCCAGAAGGCATAGGTCTCCATAATGGCCTCCAGCCCTGTCCTGTGCAATGAAAATAAAACAAGGAGAGAAGAAGAATGTCAGTCAGCTGGCAAGGGTATCGGTGCTGGGGAAAGAGGGTTCTGACCTCGCTTGACAGGCTGCCAGTGGCCACCAAAAGGTCACCTTGGCATTTGTGAATTCCTTACGCGAGCAAGCTTTCCTGCACAGGTGCTAGCCACTAAAGTAAAAGGAAATTGCTCCAGCCCAGGATTTTAAAAGCTCCTAACAGTCTTCCAGTGCTTTTTTGTTTTTTTAGCAAGGATACCAAACTTTTTGTCTGCTTTGCAGGGAGCACATGACCGTCAGCTCCTCAAGGTATGCTTTATCATAGAGTGGGTTTCCACACTTTGTGGATGCAAGCTGTGATGCAAACAAGGGACATCTGGGATTCAGCCTTCAGAATCAGAGAAATTTTGTGAATTGCCTTTCCCTGCCACCTCCTAGTTCTGGACATTGCTTTGAAGTTCTATGGGAAGCTGTTCAAAAGGGAATCTCCTTGGTTTCAGACTTCAACTAGAAATGCATAAGACGTTTTTTTATAAAAGATCAGTGGCATCCGTGCTTTGGGTCCCTTACTCACTGCAGAGACAGTACCAAAGAGAAAAAGCCAAAAATCACGTGAGAACTTGTCCTCTTGAAGGGCTGGGGTCTCAGATTTGTTCTTGTTTTCACCACAGAATGCTAGTTCTACTGAAAGTCTCTAACTCCACAGGCTCAGTGAGGGCATAGGTATATTATCAGGGAAAGACCCCCATGTTCTTTACAAGACAACCCCCTGGAGTTTCTTCCCAGGAAAGGTTCTCCTGTGTGGAGGCTGCACATTGCTCTGTTCCCCATTCCTTGCTTTCCCCTGCCTCTTTTCCAGCAGTAGGTTATAGCCCTCGCACTGCCTGAACACAACAAGATGCTTCGTCAAATGTGAGAACGTATCCCCTTTCAATGCAAAAGGCTCTAACATCCCCAGAGCCTCTCGTGAGTGTTGAGCTGATACTGGAGCTGCCTTTTGCTTCTGTCTTGCTTCATGTCTTTCTGCACGTGCCTCCACTCACTCGGTTAACTTTCCAAAGTCTCCCCGGAAGCTCGGATGCTTTAAATATATTGGAGTTGGCAAACCAAACTCTGTATTTTAAGAGGAGGTTTAGAAGAGAGGTTGTTGCATGGTGTTTATTAGCTGCTAAGCTGTTAGAAGTAGAAACAGAAGACATCTCTGCATAGCAGTCTCACACAAGCGCTGAGCACATTACAACAAAACTATTTGGTTAATACAGTGGCCTCTGCCAGCTCGTGGAGCTCGGAGACAACAAGGCAGCACAGAACGTGAACCTGTCTGCTAAGCTGGGCTCTGTGCAAAAGCAGCTCTTCGACTGCCGGTACCACCCCCAGGATTTCCTCTGCTCCCTGTGTGAGAAAGCCACACATGTTCAGACTCTATCTGCTTCTTGACACACGCAGCCAGGAAGAGAATGGTACCTTTTTACAGCGATCATAAGCGATCCCCAGCCCAAAGACCGAGGGAGGACCTTCCGCTACCGTGTATCCAGGGGGCATAGAAAGCCCTGCGCAAGTCACAGAATCACAGAATCACTAAGGTT